AAATTTTAACGCAGGAGAAAATTACGAAGCCAACTTTATTGGTACAAGAAAAGTGTACCCTTCTGTTTGCGCCTAAAAACACTTAAACGCGCTGTTGCACAGAGGGCAAGATTATCATATAGTTACATGAGCGCAGCGGTTCAGATACTGTATTGACGGAACATTTAATCCAGCTGTTCTAGTCCAGGTCGACCCTTCGTGTGCCCTACAGCTAGACGAATTAAAGAACTAATAACCATGTGGCAAAGGTTGCCGCAACATTGTGGCACTAATGTTAGTTGCTTGAGTATCCTAGAATAGGAATTATCGAAAGTTGGTCTAAAGCGAAAAACCGGGCCTTTATTCATGGAATAACATCTAACTTTCTCCAGACTAGCCTGGTATCGCGAATGAATTTTCCGTTGATTTGTGATGCGCTGCGCTCCGCAGTTTTTGTATCTTCACCGCCGTTCTAAAAGTTAATGTAGCCTTTTAGCACACTGCAATAACTTTAGATTGAAAACATGTTAAGTCAGAGTTAGGTTGGCGTTAAAATATCCCACTTTTAGCAAATTCTATTCGATAGCTATGTTAGATTTGCAAAGTAGGTCTCGTCTCGACGATGTTTTATTTCTTTGTCGGGCAAATTGCTATAATGATAGGTAGTGTAACAAGTCACTGTCCATTGATACTGCATCAGCACTTGTGCACATACACTGACAACATTATAGGTAGTGCCACGCGTCACGTCACGTACACCGTACAACGCACGGGCAGAAGAAGTCTAGTTTGTATACGACACGTTCAATAGGAGTTGAAAGTAAAACTGTTTGATATAATCAAGTCATGATCATTAACCTATGGTTTAGTCCCAACTTGATGATATTTATCTACAAAAAAGTGAATACTAAAGTCTTGATCACCACTCATTGCGCACGTCCATCATTATTTGGAAAGCTAAAGCTGGTAGATACGATGGCCCATATCAGCCAATCGGTGAGTGTTTCTGAACATGACCCTGTTTTGTAATTTTTACGAACATTATCATCATTTTTGTTATAATCTATTAAACATGTATCAAAGTTAATTGCATGTAACAGGCTCACCTCGTTACAGTAGCCTACTAGTGTAATGGATGCAACTAACCAGAGTAGTCGTACTTGCCGCAGACAATCAAAGTCTGCAGGAATCATAAAAGAAGCGTGTTTTTTTTGAGTCGTGAGTTGCATGTAAGCGCAGGTTACGGAATCTTCTATCACACAAACTCGTAAGATTATGACTTCTTGGTCCGTGTTGTGGCTTAGGCTAAATTCTTGATGAAAGTGTAGCTTTGAATGTCGATGAGAAGCACAGCCATGATCGAAACTAGGATATGCATACACCACACTACGGTAAAGCTTTGAATGGATGGAGATCTGAAGTCGCAACTCGACACATCAACATAAGAAGACTGCTTCCTTTGGTCGCGACTTTTGTATTAATGTAGTTTAATTTAAAAGTACCAGCTAGATACACAGCCCGTTTGTCTTTCTTTACATGCTTATGAGCTTTGTAATGCCAAAATTTGTTACGAAAAATAGAGAGGTTCGCTCCATTTAACGAAATTTCACCGGCGAAATGTTACAACATTTTAGGAATGACTACTTTTCCTAAACTAAGTCATTAGCTTATAGTTGTGCCAATATTTTCATACTCCCTTTCGATGCTGCATAGTCAAATCCGCATCCGCTTTTACGTATGCGCGATACTGTGATTGCATCTACGCTTTCACATGTTTCACTACCCTGGACAAGATGAAGATCTGCTTAAAAACACATTTGCAGTATCAGCTACGTGTGCCTATAACCTTCTTTAACAAAATTCTTGAGAAGAAATTCGTTTTTTGTAATTAGCTCCGTATCGAAAAAAATCAAATATATATTTAAGTTTGTTTTTTATTTGAAGCATAATTAAAAAAATGGGTGATAAGATGAAATTTACAATTAAAACTATTAAAATAAACTACGTTTATTGCAAATATGCAAATGCTGATCTGATCTCTGCGTCTATCAGATGTGAGGTCAAATGCAATATTGCTAAAGGCAAATATAATGTATGACAAGATTCGGCCCTTGGCGCTCTCTCATTATGTTTTTCATTTGCACAATATGTCGCCCACTAATTCTTGTCATTCGTTTTAGTTTTAAAGAGATGATTATGTACTGGAAATGCATTTTGACCAAGTCTGCTTACATTCAAGCTTCTACGTCGTGACTGGCCTACGGCAATAAATCCGTTTTGTACAATACTATCAAGAATAGACGAGAGTTTTCGGGATGCTCTGTAGAATAATGTGGAAAGAGGGAATCTTGGCCGCTGACAATTTCCAGGTGAGACTAGGGGACAAATTAGGGCGGTTATCACCATCCGTTTGCTCAAGGATAGGTGCAGAACGTGTGCAAAACAGTATACATGAGGAGAGCTATAGCTAGCATATCAGGATGAGAGCGAGCATCAAGTGGCAAGCAATAGGCAGAATCGAACCAGCCTCTTTCAGCATCAACGCACGTTTGCCCATCGATAAAATGTACGGGGATACATGAAACGATACGGAGCATGTCCAAGTCGCGCGTGTACACCCCTTCTAAAAACTGCCTTTGTTGATCAATAAATTCTTTTTTAATAATTAATCTTAATCATATTGTGGTATGCTTTTGCAGTTTCTAAAAAGCAGTTGGTAAATCCGTGTCTTCTCATTAAGAATTTAAAATTTTAAATGGAGCAATTATATTAATACCGACTTCTTCAATTTCCGTTAGTTTTTCTATAATGCACTTTGATCGAATCTTAATATCTCTGATGTGTCTCCTGTAAAAGTAAAAAGCTTTTGCCTCGACGAACGCTCGTCGATGAGATTACGCGTGCTGCGACAACACCGTGTACTGTCATGTGGCAGTCAATCGTTAAAGCACGATATTTAACGTGAGTTGTTGTGATAGTAACAATATGCCCATCTGGGTTAATTTGGTTGCTCACGTATTCCAACTCTACTTGAACTTCACGACATGCAGGAAAGCTCTACCAATGTGCTAGCCATCCTGTGGTATTGATCTCATCAACCGATACCCATCATGAGTTCTGCAAGAAAGGATAGACCGGAGGTGTTATAGGTGACCAGATTCTGTTTCCATCTCTCGCTTCTGTCGCTAATGATGTCCTAGCTAACTGCAATCTCTCTACGTAAACCACTCTCTAGGGTCTCCCTCGACTCTTCAAAGTTCTATTCTCTGCATTCTATGATCCGCCTAGCGTACCGAAAAGACGCGTCCTTTCGCGTCGCCGGAAACTGCCAGGCGACTTGACATGCAATTTCTAGCAATGAGTGATAGGCTACGCAACCGGCTCTCACGCAGCAACATAGCATATTAATCGTTCACGTACGTTACTTCACGCGTCGTCACTAGTGCTGCCAGCACAAGGTCCTTGAGCAGCGCCATAATTGTCGATCGAACCCTGTTACCTCACATCGCCCATTTAGCTGTTCGTGCATCGCTCTTCTTCAGCTTAAAAGTTGCATAAGCCACGCTCATCAATCCGCGTAGTGTCGCGAGCTTGACATCGTTTATCGCTTTCGTCGTCTGGTCCGCCAGCATATGCTCGGATCGGACGTGCTGCGCCCAGATGATGCCGCATTACGCGTAGTCTTTTACAAGCTTGTGCCGTACGTCGATGCGCTTCACCTTGCTCATCGATGCTTCATTCTCTACCTGGCTAATTTTAGCCTAATTCTCAGATGCAGGAGCGTGAGTAATACCATCACCATGCTGAATTTTATCAGAAGCTAACGCTGGACCATGATATCGCGCGCGACCTCGCTCGCAGACACGAACTTCGCCTCCATTGTGGATAATCACACGCCGCATTGCTTTTTGACGTACCACGACACTGCCATGCTGTTAAGAAGTACCATTTCTCCGGTGAGCTACTTGCATTCGGCTTTGTCGGCCGTGAGTTCGGCGTCTCTGTTTGCCTCCATCAGCAGAGCGTCATGACTCGATTGCGAAGCCGCAATCGCGAGGTTGATCGTCGCAATTCCTTTAAGGTATCTGGAAATTTGCTTCGCAAGCTCCCAGTCGTGGATGCGCGGTGCGTGCGTCGGTCGGGTCGCCTTATGAGTGGCAGATGCCACATCTGGACGCATGCATTGCGTCACCCACAACAAGATACCCAATTTTGCCTTGAATGCCTTGATAGTGGGATCGCCGCTCGCGTTCGTTGCCGTAAGCAGCACAGCATCATCGTACTAATCATCACCGATTGGCGTCTTTGTCGAGTTGGTATCATTCATGCCACATGCGCGCAGTAGTCCTTCATCGCTTTTTCTTGATCGTTAAATTATATGCCGTCGTCCCCAAGCTCTACACCCATGCCGATATACTTGTGCAAGATGTAACGGGGTGAATCGTTACATAACAATTTATAAGAAATTGTTAATAGAATATAACTATAAGAGTTATATTCTCAGAATATTGTCATAAGGACAAATATTCTGTAGCACTTACAAGTAGTTCCTAATTGGTTGATATAGGCCATTATATCAACCAACGAAGACGCGCCACGATAGGCGCACGCAATGAGTGGTGAGCAGATAGTTGATTTACACATTTGTATTTAGACATAGTTAGATGAAGATAAATAGTGATTTATTGCAGACATTAATATTATAAATACAGTTCTACTTTTTACTTTAACCAAGTACTCGCTTCTTCTTACCGTCTTCCTCTGCACGTACGAGTGTACGTGACGTTCCGAGGCACCGTCTTATTCTGTCGTCAGAATAAGTAGCTGGTACTGTCATCAGTACAAGCTTCAGGGTGCCCCGTTACACCTGGTAGCACTTCGTAGTCCGTCCAAGGACCACGTTCACATCTAACATGAATATGTTAGATGATGAAGATGACCAAAGCTTTCACGTCATACGTGACGGCTACTCCCATTTGAGCGATGTCGAATGGGATGCGGTTGAACGAATGGGTTCGACCATGGGCATCCATGCTGTTAGCGTCATGCTAGAGGCTCTCAATAGAGATGCCCAACATGCTACTATCGCCAAGTTCATTCAAAATGAACTTGACGCTGAACGCGAGAAAGCAGCCTTGCTTCACCAACAAGGTTCTCAACAAGCAGAGTTGTTGAGAGAACAGGATGATCAACAGTTTGAACTGTTGAGACAGCAGCAGGCTGCTGCTGGTGGGTCGATGCACTCGCGTCGACCCGAAACCTCGAAGATTGACATCTCAAAGTATAGGGGGGTCGAAGAAGACTCCCTCTTGAGATGGTTCGTCGAATTGGATGACGCCATAAGGGCGCGTCGCATCGACGACGTGGATATGCAAGTTGCATTTGCCCAGTCAAATCTGGCAAGACGTGCCAAGACTTGGGCTTTGGGGCTCAAGTTGCACGACCCATATGCGTTTAGGTCGTTGGAGGCTTCAAGTCGCGGCTCAGACAAACATTTGAACCGCCTAGAGTTGAGTTCAGAGCTCGAACTGAACTCCTGAAGCTCAGACAAGGTAAGCGTCATGTGCACGATTACGCTCAACATATACGACATCTCACGAGTTGTATAAGTTCCAACCCGGTAAATAAACACACTTCGGTTTCGGTGCTCATGCATGGTCTTGCGGATGGTCCCGTCAAGACTCACCTGTTCCGACTTGAACTAGATTCACTAGAACAAGCCATTTCCATTGCGGAACAAGAATACTTCAGTCTGAGACAGGCTCGCGCCAGCTCGACATCATATCGTCAACCGAGACGATATGACAACGGAGGTCCAGAGCCGATGAAACTCTGTTATGTAGAGAGCGAGAAGGCTCGCTCTACAGGCTACAAGAAGTTGCAGAGATGCAACAGATGTCAAAAGACAGGACACTACGCTTACAAGTGTAGTGCCCCTCGTCCAGTGTCTCGCAACACTGGGCGTAGTGACCGTCCACCCATGAGAAAGGGGCAGGGACGAGGGTCCGCTGTTGGTGCAAAGACGCAACAACGGGATGGACCGTAAAAAAACGGACAGGATCAGTAGGTGCGGAGCACCCTACTGGTCCAGCAACGTCAAGATAATTTGTAGGCCTCTTGATGAAGGTTGCTCCCGACACACAAACGTTGTGCGTTGCTGCTCTACGTAATGAGATCTCACTCATTACCTTGAAACTCGAAGTGACGAATAAGTTGTCCCTTCGAGCTCTAGTCGGTTGTGGGGCGTCCAACAATTTTGTGCGACGCCAATCGCTAGAAGATGGTCACTTTAAGTTCCGTGAATGTGACACACCTTCTACGAGGATGACGGTACGTCTTGCGACAGGCGCATCCGTAACCGTCATGAAGCGTATAGTGAAGATCCACTATACGCTAGAAGATACCCAATACGACGATGACTTTATCGTATTGGATTTGGATGACAAATTTGATGTCATCCTTGGAATACCGTGGCTCAGAAGGTACGAACCACGGGTAAACTGGCAACATCGAACAGTAACGATGCCTGCCGCTTGTTCACCAGATGGCCATCTGATGAACGTTTTGGAGCGTCCACAAGCGTGTGGATGTACTACGAGTGAGTGCGATGGCCTCACTTGTGGTACGGTCGTTAGTACGACTGCACAAAACCTCAGTGTACCAAACGGTTACACTTCGGAGCAAAGTTCGGGCGGCTGTGAGGAAACACAGGCTGCGCCGAAGGTCCACCACTCGAATAAGTCGAGTGGACTGGGACAAAGATGTATCCCTAGCGGGGAACATCTAGAAGAGAAACAATCGATCGCTCAGGTTAAGCGAAACGATAATCCTAGATCGACTGGAGAGTCTTTCGTAGAGGATATCGCTGTGGTTGCGCAACCACAGCTAGAGGAAGTTAAGGGAATAAGTCCCGAGATTACAAATACGGCGGAAATAAGTTTCCCGAAAATCGCGGGAATAAGTCTCAGGGAAGCCGAAGGAATAAGTCCTTCGAGGCCTGAGGGAATAAGTCCCCAGGAAATGACAGAGACATTGAATGTCCTAGTCAATAACGGATCAAGCGTAGGCGCTTATACACTTGATCTGATTGCGCCTCCGAAGTTAACTTCGGAGATCACTCAGTTGCCAACGCTCGAACATAAAAGGTTCTTGCGTGATCTGCGTAGTGGCAAAGTCAAGCAGATCTGCGTACTCGTCGCTGACGACGAGTGTGTAACCGACATAAGGTCAGCAACAGTGTTCACTGAGAACGAGAAAGTTCTCAGTAGTTCATCTATGGACGAGAGTGTCCTAGATGAAAAGACACGAATTGAGCGATATGACTCCCAATCGTGGGAATCGCTCAAGACAAATCCTCTTTATGAAGATTTGGTTATATTCAAGGATGTATTCCCTGAAACTGTTCCGTGCGAATTACCGAAGGATAAAGGTATTCGACACGAGGTCGAGCTTAAACCAGGCTCGAAGTACTGTGTCATGAAGCAGTGGCCACTGCCTCGTGAACAAGTACTTGCGATCGACAAGTTCTTTGCCGATCGTTTAGCTGCGGGCCATGTGAGGGAATCAACTTCCCCACATAGCTCTCCGACCTTCTGTGTGCGAAAAGCAACAGGAGGGTGGCGGATTGTGCATGCATTTAACAAGTTGAATGCTGCAACGGTACCGGCACAAACGCCGATACCGAGGAAGGACGTAATCATAGATGGTATGTCAAAGAGTACCATCTTTTCGTCCATGGATTTGATGGATGGCTTCTATCAAATCCTTATGCGAGAACGGGATATAACCTATACCGTAGTTAGCACGCCTAGCGGCATGCTCTAAGAATGGCTAGTTATGCCACAAGGGCTTAGTAATGCCCCTGCCACGTTCAACAGATGTGAATCACATCTGTTGAGACCAGTACGAGAATTCGCGCCGAGTTATTTCGATGACGTATTCATCCATAGTCGAGCTATGGATTGAAAGTAGGATGTTGATGTTCACAGGTACCACGTCCGACAGGTTCTTACAATCATGCGAAAGCATCAATTGTATGAAAGTATGAAGAAGTGTATATTTGCAGCAAGCAAAATACCACTTCTTGGGTGCATCGTTGGTAAGAACGGTGTACGTCCTGATCCCGAAAAGATCAAGGCGATCACCGACTGGCCTGTGCAGGTTGATGTCAAAGGTCTTCGAAAATTCCTTGGGCTAGCGGCGTATTTGCATAAGTATTCACGCAATTACGCCGAGATGACTGTGCACCTCTCTCGTTTGTTGAAAATAAACGAGAGGTGGTTATGGAACGCTGAATGTCAGCGCTACTTTGAGGGTATCAAGCAGAGATTGATACAATCCCCAGTCCTAGCAATAGCCGATCAGGACAGGCCGTTTCATGTGGTCTGTGATGCCAGCGATTTCGCAATCGGCTGTGCATGAATGCAGTACGACCTTGAAGGCGTTGAACGCGTCGTCTGCTATCAGTCGCGTCAGCTGCAACCAGCTGAGCGGAACTATCCAGTGCATGACAAGGAACTCCTTTCCATGAAGTATGCACTCGCGAAGTTCAGAGTCTATCTATTAGGAGATAGACCCTTCATTGTTCACACTGACCATGCGTCATTACGCACGGCAGTGAACAGCCCGCACCTTTCTCAACAAATGGCGCGGTGGTTGTCATTCTTTGCGGAATACAACTTTACGGTAGAGTACAAATCAGGACGACTTAATAGTGTCGCTGATGCACTCTCACGTCGTCCCGACTTTGAACCAGTCGTGAAACCCAACAGTGAGACAGCCACTGTTGCGGTTATGACGTCCTCAGTCCCATCTTCAACGTTGTATGATAATGTGAGGCGGGCATACGCCCAAGATGGTGAGATTGTGAAGTTGTTGACACATCTCTCCCAACCATATCGAGAATCGTTGAAACGATTGTCGCCTGCGTATCGATCTGCATCAGATCGATACACTACTCGTAACGGTTTACTGTATTATAGAGCCGTTTCTGGTGACACACCACGTGTTGTCATTCCAGATGATACTGATCTGCGATTGCGGATCATGTTCGAGTATCACGATGCTCTTATAGGAGGACATCGTGGCCGAGAGAAAACATATCTCACGGTGAGTCGAGACTTTTACTGGCCCCGCCAGTATCAGTTTGTGCGAAAGTATGTTCGCGCATGCGAAGTCTGTCAACGAGTGAAGTCAATTCCTTCACTACGTGCACCTTTACAGCCTCTACCGGTTCCGGCTGAGTGCTGGGAATCTATCTCAATGGATTTCGTCTTCGGGTTACCCGAAGACGCACGCGGGAATACGGGTATTCTCGTATTTGTTGACAGATTCAGCAAAATGGTACACCTTGTGGCTGTACCAGAGTCAATCACGGCAAGTGGCTGTGATTGTGTCTTTATTGGCACCATCTTCCGACTTCATGGGTTGCCCCGTGAACTCGCATCAGACAGAGATCCACGATTCACTGCTGATTTCTGGCGTTCCGTGTTCAAATCACTCGGAACGCGCTTGAAGATGTCGCCATCTGATCATCCAAAGTCAGATGGTCAGACGGAACGTGCCAATCGTGTCCTTGAAGATATACTTCGAGGATACGTACACTCCTTTAAGAGTTGGATTGAGTTCTTGCCTATGGTAGAGTTTGCCATTAACAACTCGGTGCATGCGTCCACGGCACATACACCGTTTTACGTGAATGGCTTACGCCATCCGCGTGTACCCACCTTACTAGAGTGTACCTCTGGTTAAGGGGGGGAGGGACTCGCGCGAGCAAAAACCGATTTGGTTCACGCTTATCACGCTCTGACGAAGAGGCCATTGCGTTTGATGCCGATATCGATGTTATCGATATCGAAGAAGATGATGCCAGTGAGAGTGCGGAAGCCCTCACTGAAGAAAAGGTTGATGTTGCTGCAGTGCACTCACAGCGCACTGAAGCTAACGAGTCATCAGATGAGTTCATACTGGCTCGTGAAACGGTAGTCCGTTTTGTGCAAGACTCCATCGCCGAAGCGGTGGATAAGCAAAAGCAAAACGCTGACAAGAATGGAAGGGCAAACACTCTTTTATTTAATAAAGGTGACTTAGTCCTACTGTCTACGGTTAATCTACCAAAGCATGTAGTGACTAACTTGGGTAGCAGTAAACTACTACCCAAGTACATCGGCCCATTTCGTGTATTGCACCGCCTAGGCAATGCATACACGATCGAATTACCACGTAAGATGCGAGCGCATCCCACGTTTTACGTTGGTCGGCTTAAGCCGTACCATCAGTACGTTGCTTCTTCCGATGAAGAACGCCCTTGCGCTCAAGCATCTCGCAGAGAGCCTTGTGCTCCCGATGGTGGCCATCGACAAGGGTCTACAGAGGAGTTATCTCAGCCCGAGACCGATCAACATCCCCACGAGCTACCCTTAGCTCGTCACGAAGAGATGTCAGAGATCTCTCGTTCTCAAGCTGAGCAAAGGCAAACTCAGCTCGATTCTTCGAGGCAGTGTCCGCCATTTGGATACGCCTATTCCGCTCATGTTCGAGATCGTCGCGTAACCCTTGCGTTATGCGATCAAAGAAGCTCTCGGGAACCCACCGATCCACATGATCGTGTGGAGAGCGTCTTTCCTCCTCCTCCACCTCCATTAGAGGACTCTCGCGGTGGCCAGCGCTATCTGGTTGAGCAGCTGTTGAACCACCGCGACGTGAACGGACATCGGACGAGTTATCTCGTCCGGTGGCGCGGCTATCCCCCGTCCAGGGATACTTGGGAGCCCCGCTCCCAACTGATGATTGACGTACTGGGTCGAATTGAGCAGTACGACGCGGCACATCCTGTGCCGCAGAAGGACCGCCGGAGAAAGTCTTCCCGGCACGGTCGTAAAGGGATTTCAGGTTGTCAATCCCTTCGTACATCTCAGTAGAGACACGTACGCGCCACCACGGGCTAGTAAGGAGGTAAGCCTCCTTAGGTGCTCGTGCAGAGTTGTTCACACAACATGGGCACGAGTCTCCCCAAGAGAGGCAGGGTAATCCTTTCTCCCTTGACAGAAGATGCAGCTTATAGCGTGCACCTGTCGGGGTTCTCTTTTCAAACTTATCACGAGCTTTGATAAGTTTGTCATTCCAAGCGTCACGACCTACATCCTCGAGGTTATGGATGTAGGCGTTCCACGCCTGAAGTAGTGAGGGACCATCACGCTTATGATTCCCACTGTACCATCGATGTCTAAAGAAAGCATCGATGAAGAATTCATGTTCAGCGCGATAGTTTTTCGCGCTGGGGTCAAGGTGATGGATCCTTGACGAATCGAACAATCGTGTTCGATAACGATCACTCGTCGTCGCCGACAAGTGATCCATGACGGATTTTGGAGGCATCCAAGCCTTCTTTTCTGGAGCGAGACGCAAGAAATTGCGGTCCCGCTCTTCCTGCGACGTGCCGACAGAAGTACTGGCACCTCGCTGTGAAGTGGTGTCAATAGGAGAACCGACACCACTGTTAGCGCCCGAGTCTCGCGACCTCGAGCGCCTTCGCTTCGGCGATGGTTCATCTGATTCATCAGATGAACCAAAGATGCTACGACGCAAAGAATCGTCCATGCCACGCTTGGCAGGCGGCTTAGATTCAATTGCCGTCGATACGGATCCGTCATCCGTATTAGGAGAGTACGAGACACCGAGCTCGTACTCTGTGAAGACACGAGTGTCTTCATGACCAGCGCCTGCATCACCATGTGACACAGGCTGGGTCGCTTCAGCAACCGATGAGACATCAGTTGCTGTTGTTTCTGCTTCGGCGTCCGCACAGAGACGTGCAGACGCGCTCTCGGCGGCCTTGTTCGCGCATCGCATGGTCTTGTTTACCATGCGATGAGATGTTGGAAAGTGGACTCGGACCAACAAGTGCAAACCCTGTCCCAAATGATTTGGGACGAGTATCCATTTGGTCAATCAGTCACTGAAGTGACTGATGGTTAAGGGGGGGTGATGTAACGGGGTGAATCGTTACATAACAATTTATAAGAAATTCTTAATAGAATATAACTATAAGAGTTATATTCTCAGAATATTGTCATGAGGACGAATGTTCTGTAGCACTTACGAGTAGTTCCTAATTGGTTGATATAGGACATTATATCAACCAACGAAGACGCGCCACGACAGACGCACGCAATGAGTGGTGAGCAGATAGTTGATTTACACATTTGTATTTAGACATAGTTAGATGAAGATAAATAGTGATTTATTGCAGACATTAATATTATAAATACAGTTCTACTTTTTACTCTAACCAAATACTCGCTTCTTCTTAACGTCTTCCTCTGCACGTACGGATACGGCCTCACCAATCTGCGGCGCTGATTTCGCGCAGTGTGTCGTCGGACACACCATCCGCGCGGCGCTCGTAAGCAAATCCTAAGGTGAGGTTCCTTGTCCGCCTTAATTTACGCGTTTAGGATATCGCCATGTTTGGCCGGCACACCCTAAATACCGCAAGCGCTAGCACCACCTTGACATTTCCGATGTCCATCACCATTGCGAACGTAAGACTGTAATCCAAACCCAGCATTTTCTCTTTTCCACACGCAACTAGCCGCGAGTTGTAATTTTACATTTTGCCGTCAGCTCCCATATTAGTCTTACAGACCTATTTGAGTACAGCGTGTTCGATCTCATGCTTTTCTTCGTCACAATCCAGACACCATTGTAATGTTAAGCGCTAATGTCCTTGCGTATTGCAATTTTCGCGCTCTGAGTGCTTTGAAATGCGCATTGCTTCTGCATATTCGATCGGGTCCTTCTCGTGCGCTAGGTTTAACGACTTCGGGTATCGCCTTCGGCTCCTTCTGCTCCTCCTGTACGAATAGCAAAATCACGTGTCGCGTGCTGCTGCCCCTACTACCGTTTCTTCTTCGCCTTTGTCTGCACGGTTTTGCTGCTGCTTTCGCCGCTCGAACTTCTAGCTTTCGTTGCTTTTTGCGCTAACTAAGGTTAGGGTTTAAGGTCTGTCGCACTCACGACGTCTCTGCACACGACATCCACTAATTCCGATCAGAGGTCATTCGATTTGTTCTGCTGACAGCGTCGTGATGTTCATCACGTGTTGTGTTGTAATGACGATGTTGCTATTCAGAAGTTACACTCGGCACCCCTTCGTCTCACCGGGCGGCCGATGATCTTCCCGTCTTCTAACTGCGGCGCCAGCGAGATCTTGCCCGAGTACCGTCCTACATCGCACGTCGACCTGAAACGACGATGTCACCGCAGTTCTGGAGTGATTCGTCAACACATCGTAAAGTAAAGCACGTTGATCGTTCGCTCTTGTAGGGCTGCGATTTAAAATGTATGTCGCATAGTTGACAGTGTCAACCCAGAAAAAAAGCGGTAGGTGCACGCGAAGATACTGAGGAAGCTTATCTACTCAACAACTATGATGAGTGAAGGGTAAAAAGAGAACTTTTTTAATATTGTCAAGCTATCAGTAAAACTTTTATCTTTATCTAACTATATTGAACTACGTCTCCGTATGACGACAACCTGCTCACCACCTTTTGCGCGTATCTAAGCATCGATCATTAGTAATTTATGGTTGGTATGTTTTTTGTCAATCAATCTTTGAGCAGCGCATGAACATTATCCTAAAAGGGGATAGTATCCCTTCGATATAATCCATCTCGGATAATACTGGTATAATATTGTTATGTATAATACTGTCGTGCTAGACAATTTTCCTATTGACACCGTTAGGTGTAAATTTCATGTAACGAGCTACCCCGTTACATCACCCTCCCTTAACCATCAATCACCCGTTAATTGAATCAGAATTGATTGGGACAGGGTGAACACCGTTGTATTACTCAGGAAAAGGGAGAACTTGTTGGTCAAATTCCAATCATTTGCCAATCCAAAGCATGGTTTCGAAACCCAAGCGAGTTGCTACTGCAGCAGAAAGGAAGGCGGCTGCACGCATGCGTGCAACCGGAGAGAGTACTGATCGTGCTTTAGCAGCAGGTGATTCGTCGCCTGTTGCCGTGAAAATTCCACGTGGTGAATCACCAGGTGCGACAGGTACATCCGCTGCGTCTGCAGCGGGTACCGCGAATCGTAATCTGGATCAGTCTGAAATATCGCTTATCTATTCCGGCAAGTCAGATGATGTATCCGACTCGAAGGCGACACCTTACGCCTCCGGATCACACGGGGCGGACGCTGCAAGATCCAGGTTGACTGGCTCTGGTCAACTTGGCGGCATCACGCTCGAGATCTTCGGATCGAGTGCTTATTCCGACGAATCCTCCCTCACGCGAGTCCATCAAATGATAAAACGAGTGGTGATGGTGATGATGCACCTTAACATAGCCACAAGCGAAGTAACTCGAGGGATCGAGCTGTCAATGGTTTTAGTGCTCATGCTGGCACCAATCAAGAGGCCAGGGACCGAAATGTCCTGCGCCACGCTCCTCAAGTGGAGTCTCCTTGGATGCCGTCATTCAAAGGATAGATCGAGTGGCCGGCATGACTACGGAACGGGATCGAATCCCGTTGTTCGATTGCAGGAAAATTTGTCCACCTAATTTCACCACGGAAACTATCCGTGCCGAGGAAGAGTCTTCAACGATGCGTTTTTTAAGTATCGGTGGTACAATGGCAGCCACGTTCAAGACGGTGAGGCCTTGAAGCAAGGATGGAATGATCTCATCCATATCATCGAGTGAATTGGCGGTGAGGCTTGGCTCGCCAAACTTGATGCAGCTCGCATCAGGTTTGAGAAACACAACACAGTCGGGGTGCGATACAAGTTGCACCGGCTGTACAGAGAGTCAGGATTACCATGTCTCTCGTGGGGTGATTCGTGTCCAGGTTGGCTGGACAATTCGAACCGTGCCCCTCGGAAAGCCTCCCTCCCTAATGTTCCCTACTGGAATACGCGCGTCTCTTCTGAGATGGCCGAAGGAAACGATACCTTGCAATCCCTGTACTCGCGGTCGGGGAGGTCATTTTCCGACGGCCCTGATTCGAACGCAGCAAGTTAGTCTCGTCATATTGCTCGACGAGACCAAGGACATCAAGCATTAGCTGAGCACGAGGCTTCCAGCTGTCCCACGCCGGTGGATAGCCACGCCAGCGGACGAGGTAACTCGTCCGGACGCCATTCACGTCGCGGTGGTTCAAAATACACTCCTCTAAAAAGCTTTGACCACCGCCTGAGTCCATCAAAGGATGTGGTGGTGGTGGGAACACCTGATCCGGCTCGAGGGTCGGATCAGCTTAATGTTCAAGAGCTGAACCATGTAACGCAACAGTTGCAAGATGACCTGGCTCACGAATAGACTCGGCGTTATGATCTTGAGAATCTTGTAAGGGATAATTACAATTCCTTAGTGCAAGATCGTTTGGACGATCGTGCCGCGTTTGTGTTCGCGCAACTTGAGAACGAACTTTCGTCTCGTTCTCTTTGTGACGAGCTGGCTGTAGCTCGTCGAGACATCGCTAAACTGCGTGAACACATTGCTTCGCTAGTCGACCATACTGGTTCGTTGAAACTGGACCACTCGAATGTGGTCTCGGCTCTCGACCGTGGAGGTGTTCTTCGCATTTCAAAACGGGCTCGTACTAATAGTACGGGCGGATACGACCAACGTAAAATGTAGGATGCGTACGCATCTTACGGGGCAGTTCAATCGTGTATGCGTTACCCATTCGGCGCAAAACGCGAAATGGACCGATGTACGTGGGCAGCAATATACTGCTGCCCACGTTTGTTACTGCGTGCTTCGGTAAGTTTACTGTAGAAAATAAAACTAGGTCTCCTTCATCAAATGAAAGAACATCTGCTCTTCCACGTTCGTCTGCATCTCTTTTCTGTCTATCCAGTGCATCTGAAATAGAGTCTTGAGCGAAGCGGACAGCCGCTTCGCGAGTCAGCAGAAATTCTTCTGCTGATTCATCCTTGTCAACAGCAGTGCGCTTCGTGTGCACTGCTGAAAGAACGTTGTCTTCACCAGTGAGGGTATCATCGTCCTCACTGTGGCAGTCATTGGCGATGCTAAATATACCAGCATCGTCGTCATCATCGTCATCATCGATATCGATCCCATTGACATCGGCATCCATCACGTCGACGCCATTGTCGACGGGTGATGAGCAAGAACCAGATCCATTATTGTTCGAGCGAGTCCATCCCCCCCCGCCCTTCAACTAGATTCACACTCTAAGAAGGCGGGTAAACATGGATGTTGTAGGCCATTTACGAAGAACGATGTATGCGCTGTCGACCCGTGCACCGAGTTGTTGATGGCGAATTCCGCCATAGGCAAGAACTCACTCCAGCTCGTAAACGAGTGGACTAACGCTTGAAGTATCTCTTCGAGAACGCGGTTGACGCGTTCCGTCTGACCATCTGTTTCTCAATAATCAGAAGTTGACATCTTCAAACGTGTACCAAGTGAACGGAACACAGATTGCCAGAACTCCGCCGTAAAGCGGGGGTCCTTGCTGGACACGAGTTCACGGAATAATCCGTGAAGTCGGAAGATAGTATCGATGAAGACACGAGAACAGCCCTAAGCTGTGATTAATTCCGGTACAGCAACAAGATGTACCATCTCGCTGAACCAATCAACATACAACAAAAATACCAGTATTCTTGTGAGCGTCTTTGGGTTTCCCAAAGACGATGTCCATCGATTCGGACTACCGACAATCTGTCGGAATCGGACGAGGCTGCAAAGGTGCGTGGGATGAAAGACTAGGCTTCACCTGTGGGCAAACTTCGCAAGCGCGAATGTAATTGTGCATAGCCTCATGCTGGCGGGGCCAGTAGAAGTCGCGACTCACCATGAGGTAAGACGTTTCTCTACCGCGATGCCCACTTGGTGGGGCATCGTGACAATCATACATGATACGTAGTCACAAATCATCATGAGCGAGAACGACGACACGAGGTGTGTCGCCGTTGACTGCTGTATAGTACAGCAGTCCAGCACGAACATAATACCGTTCGGATGAAGAGCGGTTGAGACGACAAGCTTTTCAAAGCTTGACTACATGGATTGGATACGTAATCCATCAATCGCAGAAGAGATCTATCTTCTGCGTATGTTTTTTGCACGTCGTCGAGCAGATTCACATCGGAAAGCTCACTGTTAGTGTCGCTACAGTGGGATCACCCCTACTGTGGTTTTCGGCTCCAAATCGGGCCGACGAGAAAGAGCATCAGCGACGAAAATAAGTCATTCTGATTTATAATCGACGGAAAACTTGTACTCCGTGAAGAAAGACAGCCACCTCGCCATTCGTTGCGAGAGGTGTGATTTGTTGACGGCCGTGCATAACGACGCATGGTTGGTATAAATGATGAAGGGTCTATCTCCTAAGAGATATACCCGAAACTTAGCCATTGCATACTTCATGGCAAGAAGTTCCTTGTCATACACCGGGTAATTTCGCTCAGCTGCTTGCAGCTGACGCGATTGATATCAGGCGACGCGCTCAACGCCGTCTGAGTCGAACTGCATTAACGCGCAGCCGATTGCAAAATCGCTGGCGTCACAGACCACATGAAATGGTCTATCCTGGTCTGCAATCGCCAACACAGGCGATTGCACCAAGCTTTTCTTGATGCTATCAAAAGAGTGCTGACACTCAGTGCTCCATGACCACCTCTCGTTTTTCTTTAGCAGACGAGAGAGATGTACAGTCATCTCGGCATAGATGCGCGAGTGTTTGTGCAAATACGCTGCCAAGCCAAGGAACTTTCGAAGTCCCTTGACGTCGACTGGCACAGGACAGTCGCTAGTCGCCTTGATCTTTTCCGGACCAGGGCGTACACCGTTTTTACCCATGATGCAACCGAGAAGTGGTATTTCGTTCGCTTCGAATATACACTTCTTGAGGTTTGCGAATACCTTATGCTCTCGCACTAGAGTAAGAACCTTCCGGACGTGGATTCTATGAACCTCCACGTCCGTCTTTCCATCCCTAGCCCGGCTATGGACGAAGACATCGTCGAAGTAACTCGGTGCGAAGTCGCTTACCAATCGCAACAGATTTGTAACACATCTGTTAAACGTTGCGGGGGCGTTTCTTAGCCCCTGTGGCATCGCTATCCACTCCCAGAGCATACCGCTGGGGGTGCTCACTGCTGTGTAAGGGATATCATGAGGATCTGATAGAATTCATCCATCAAATCCGTGGATGAAAAGATGGTACTCTTTGCCGTATCATCTATGATGACGTTCTTTCTTGGGATCCGCGTTTGAGCCGGTACCGTTGCAGCGTTCATTTTGTTGACCGCGTGCACTATCCGCCACCTTCCTGTGGCCTTTCGCACACAGAAGGTCGGAGATCTGTGTGGTGAAGTTGATTCCCTCACATGACCAGCCGCTGAACGATCCGCAAAGAATTTGTCGATCGCTTTTACCTGTCCACATGTCAAATGCCACTGCTTCATGACACAGTATTTCGAACCAGGTTTCAGTTCGATCTCATGCCGAGTGCATTGTCCTTGGGCATCTCGCATGACACGGACTCCGGGAAAATATCCCTGAATTCCACCAAATCCTTGTACAAAGGATTTGTCTTCAAAGACTCCCACGATTAAAACGTGTATCGCCCATTTCGAGTATTCTCATCGAGGACACTCTCATCCATCGATGAACTACTGAGAACCCGTTTGTTCTCAGCAAACACTTGTGCCGACAGAATATCGGCGACGTACTCGTTCTCTGTGACGAGTACGCAGATCTGCTTGATCTTGTCAATACTCAGACTCGGAAGAATCTTATAGATTCTAGCGTTGGCAACTTGACCACCTCCGAAGCTGACTTCGGGGGTGTAGCCAGATCAAGTGTATAAGCGCCTACATATGATCCGTCATTCACCAAGACATTCACTGACTCGGTGATTTCCTGGGGAAACACATCCACAGGTGGTGGGGGATCCACACCCTCAACATAACTCTCTCGGGAGTTATCACTCTCAGGAACGCCGGAATTTCTTCCATTACGTGTACTATCACGGTCACATCCTCTTCGATCGACTCTCTATTAGTCGATCGGGCTTGCTCTACTATCGACTCTCTGATAGTTGATCTTGCTTCGACGTGTTGTTCATCCTGAACTACACTAATCTCTCTTCTCGGATACACCCTTCTTGGTGTGTATCCATTTCCAGTCCACTCAATCTTTATGAGTGGTGAACCTTCGGCGCAGCCTGTGTCTCTACGCAGGCGCCGGAAGCTGGTTCCACATTGCAGTGGCCTTCTACACTGTAATCTTGTGCAATCGTACTAACGACCGTACCACAAGTGAGGCCATCACACTCACTCGTAGTACATCCACACGCTTGTGGACGCTCCAAGACGTTCATTCAATAGCCATCCGATGAACAAACGGTAGGCATCTTCACGGATCGATGTTGCCAGTTTACCCATGGCTGGTATTTTCTAAGCCATGGCAGACCGAGGATGACATCAAATTTTTCATTTAAATCCAGTATGATAACGTCATTATCGTACTGCTTTCCTTCTAGCGCGTAGTGGATTTCCACTACACGTTTGTCCACTGTTACGGACGGTCCTGTAGCAAGGAACACCGTCATACTCGTTGGGAGGAACTCTCGCTTAACATAGTTCAGTCTACTACCTCTGAGCGACTGACGTCGAATAAGATGTTCGACGCCCCGCAGTCAACTAGAGCGCGAAGTGACATTCCACTTGGCACTTCGATCTTTAAAGTAGTGAGAGACTCCTCATCACTAAGGGAAGTAACACACAGAGACTGCGTGTTGGGAGCAATCTTCGTCAAGGGTCCTCCAAATTCTATTGACGTTGCTGAATAAGCAGGGTGCTCCGCCCCTACTGACTCTGTCCGTTTCTTGGCGGTCCGTCTTGCTGTCGCGGTTTAGCAACATGGTCGGAACCTCGTCATGGACCTTTCTTCGGCCAACGGCGGTCATTACATCCTGTCTTTGGACGTGATGCGGTGCTTTGGACACTACACTAGTGTCCAAAATTCTGACAGCGATGGCATATTGCCGTTCGCTTGTGACTCAGAGAGCGAAAGGTCTCGCTCTCGATATGACATTTGTACATTGGCTCGGGACCTCCTGTTTCCTGTCGCCTCGTCGGACGATAGTTGGACGAGTTGGCCTGAGACTGTCACAGGCTGAAGTCTTCTTGTTCCGCATACGCTATCGCCTTTTATCAGCGTATGGAAGTCCTCTCGGAACATGTAGGTCTTTACCGGCCTATCCACAAGGCCGTAGATGAACACGTTGATGAGCGTGTACTCATCGACAGGGTTTTCCGTAACGCTACTCGCAAGGTAGCGCAGATGTTGTGCATAAGCGTGCACGTCACGCTTACCTTGCTTTAGCCTCAAGAGTGCAGAGCGTGTTCTGAACTCGGCTCTCGGCAGCTCAAACGTCTCTTTAAGCCGAGACTCTAAGATCTTTAACGACTCAACCACGTTTAAGTCGTGAAAGCTTGAGCCCTAAGGCCCAGTCTTTGCTCGTCCCGTCAAATTTGACAGGGCGAAGGTGACTTGCATCTCGTCACCCTCGATGTGAAGGGCCCTGATGGCGTGGTCTAACTCGAAGAACCATCTCAAAAGGAAACCTTCATCGGTTCCCTTGTGCCTTGAGATATATATCTTCAAGGTTTTGGGTCGACGCATGTGCGTCGGCCCACCCATCGACTGATGAGAGCCTTGCTGCTGTAGCAAGTCTATCTTCAGTCGTTCGACGGCAAGTTCTTCTTGTAGGAGCTTGTTGATAGCAGCATGTTGCTGGTCTCTGCTTAGGGACTTCAACATGCCACTGATGGCGGGTTCGCCCATGAGCACACTCATGCGGCCAACTATCTCCCATTCTGAGTCACTCAGATAGGAGTAGCCTTCACGTGTGACGTGAAAGCTGTCGTCTTCTACGTCCAACATGTTCATGTTGGGCGGACACTGAGTAGTTGTTGGACGGACTACGAAGTGCTACCAGGTGTAACGGGGCACCCTTTGTTTATGGTGCCACGAAACTTCACGTACACTAGTACGTGCAGAGGAAGCTAATCTACATGAACGGCTCGATCAAGTAAGGATAAAAAGAGAACTGTATTTAATATGGTTAAGCTATCAATACAACTTTAATCGTTATTTAACTATATTAAACTACGCCGTCGTATGACGACAACCTGCTCACCACTCATTGCACGCGTCTAGCAGCGATTGGTGGCAATCGACAGTTGTGATGTCTTACATCAACCAATCTTTGAACAGCGCATAAACATTATCCTAAAAGGGGACTATATTCCTTCAATATTATCCATCTCGAATAGTATTGGTAGAATACTGTCATGCTCGACAATATTCCTATTAACACTGTTTGGTGTCAATATCGTGTAACGAGCTACCCCGTTACACACCTCCTCCATCGTTACGCAAGACCACAAAATTTTTCATCCGTAGCGTTGTTCGTAAAACGTCAAAATTTGTTCAAATTTCTTGGCTGTTTGGTCTTTTCTCTTAAAAAGAACATAAGGCAGTAGCTTTATTGTGTTCAATTAAGTTGACCAATTAGCGGTTTTCTAAGCCGTCTTTTGACATCAGAGGATCTTTTAGGTCCGAAAAAATAACTCTTTCGATGTGCTCATTTGGCGATTTCGCGCTGCTGTCCTTCTAGCTCTGCGCGTTCTTCGTCTGTTTTCTATGAATGCACGTCACAATGTGAGGCGAATACGGTCGGTGAGATCGATGCCAGAGTCCGGGTTCGTTCGTGTTCAATCGTGTCGTAGGAGATGTGCCCAAGAGGTTGGTGGAAGTGAATCAGCGATCTTACTTGCAAGTCTCTCTTCGGGTCAACTTTTTCAGCCTTAAAAACGCCATGATTACGTCGGATGCTCCTTTCGCACGCTGCACTATCGCCAAAACAACAAAGAGCACGTTATTCATTGTCGTAACGTCGAATGCGACTGCTCCTTCGATTCTTTGCACAAGCGATTAAGCACCGCTGCTATACGAAAGCTTAAATCAATTCTGCCCCAGCTTCCAGAACGACGTGATGTTGCATTGTAGCTGCGTCTTATAGAAGACACCGGTAAGCGTCACGAAGCGCTCCACGGCTTCTGTAACGGGGCACCCTGAAGCTTGTACTGGTGACAGTACAAGCTACTTATTCTGATGACAGAATAAGGCGGTGCCTCGTAACTTCACGTACACTCGTACGTGCAGAGGAAGACGGTAAGAAGAAGCGAGTACTTGGTTAAAGTAAAAAGTAGAACTGTATTTATAATCGTTAATGTCTGCAATAAATCACTATTTATCTTCATCTAACTATGTCTAAATACAAATGTGTAAATCAACTATCTGCTCACCACTCATTGCGTGCGTCTGTCGTGGCGCGTCTTCGTTGGTTGATACATTGGCTTATATCAACCAATTAGGAACTACTTGGAAGTGCTACAGAATATTGTCCTTATGACAATATTCTGAGAATATAACTCTTATAGTTATATTCTATTAACAATTTCTTATAAATTGTTATGTAACGATTCACCCCGTTACATCACCCCCCCTTAACCATCAGTCACTTCAGTGACTGATTGACCAAATGGATACTCGTCCCAAATCATTTGGGACAGGGTTTGCACTTGTTGGTCCGAGTCCACTTTCCAACATCTCATCGCATGGTCAACAAGCCCATGCGATGCGCGAGCAAGGCCTCCGAGAGCGCGTCCACACGTCTCCGTGCGGACGCCGAAGCAGAAACCACAGCAACTGATGTCTCATCGGTTGCTGAAGCGACTCAGCCTGTGTCACATGGTGATGCAGGCGCTGGTCATGAAGACACTCAT